CTAAAAAAGCTAAACTTTGATTACAATTAACCCCCAAAATGCGGATAATACAGAAAATGTAAATGGAAACCGCGGAAACGGTGTCCATACTACGTGGGATTGACTTAATTGGTTACAACATGGAATATCTCGAGATCCTGACCAGATAGAAAGTTACTGTCTTCGGCAAAGTTGTTCAGGAGGTCAAAGCCTATTTCTTAGTGTACAATAGTTCAGAATTATCTCACTTCGTGGTGCTAGTATACATGTGAAATTCTCGTGTATAAAATATCTCTAGATCCTGACCAGATAGAAAGTAAATGCCTTCAGCAAAGTTGTTCAGGAAGTCAAGCTCTTTTCATTGGTGGAGTAGTTTAGAAATGTCACACTACGAGGCGCTAGTATATACGTGTAATTCTCGCATATACAATAGCTCGAGTTCTTGACCAGCTAGAAAGTTACTGTATTAGGCAAACTTGTTCAGGGGGTTAAGACTTTTCGACTGGTAGACAGTAGTTCAGAATTTTCTCACCACGTGGCGTTTGTATACATATACACTTCTCGCATATGATATATCTCGAGATCCTGACCAAATAGAAAGTTACTGTCTTTGAAAAAGTTGTTCAGGAGGTCAAAGCCTATTGCTTGGTGTAGAATAGTTCAGAATTTTCTCACTATTTAGTTCTAGTATACACGTTAAATTCTCTCATATAAAATATCTACAGAGCATGACAAGATAGAATGTTACTGTCTTGGGCAAAGTTGTTCAGGGGATCAAGGCCTTTTGGCTAGTGGACGGTAATTCAGAATATTTCACTTCATGGTACTAGTATATACGTGCAATTCTCGCATATGATATATCTCAAGACCTGCTAAAAATGTACTGTAATCGGCAAAGTTGTCCAGGAGATCAAACCCTATCGTTGGTGGAAAGTACATAATTTTCTCACTAGGTGACGTTGAAAGACACGTGAAATCCTTGCATATAAAATATCTCTGAATGACCCGCATACTAGTGCCACGTAAAGGGAAAATTCTGAATTACTGTACACCAACGAAAAGATCCTAACATCCTGAACAACTTTGCCGAAGACAGTAACTTTCTGTCTGGTCAGGATCTAGAGATATTTTATATGCAAGAATTCCTCATGTATACTAGCGTTGCAAAGTGAGAAAACTCTGAACTTAAGTCCTTGGCATTGACTTCCTGAACAACTTTGCCGAAGACAGTAACTTTTTATATGATCAGGATTTCGAAATATTTTATATGAGAATTTCACGTATATACTAGCACCATATAGTGAAAAAATCTGAACTATAGGCTTTGAACTCCTGAACAACTTTTTCGAAGACAGTAACTTTCTATCTGGTCAGGATTTCGAGATATATCACATGCGAGAACTTCACATGTATACTAGCGCTATGTAGTGAGTAAATTTTGAACTATTGTCCACCAGCAAAAAGGTTATGATCTCTAGAACTACTATGGCAAAGACAGTAACTTTCTATCTGGTCAGGATCTCGAGATATTCCATGTTGTAACCAATTAAGTCAGAACCCTCGTAGTATGGACACCATTTACGCGGTTTCCATTTACATTTTCTCTATTATCCGCATATTTTGGGGGTTAACTGTAATAAATATTTAGCTTGTTTAGTTAAAAGCAAGTTTTTTGAGGAATACTCGTTGATTTCAGATCGATTGGTAGCTCGGCTGCAAAATGGAAATGGGAAACTCACACTGTTGTACAAAGTACAACGCGTGAGTACTCGTGTTACAAAAGTTGGCGCGAGTAACGGAGGAAATATAATATAACATAAGGAAACAACTGATCATACCATAAAAAAAAATCATTCAGAAGTAAATCTTAATACGGATACCTGACTCTATGCTTGCAGTCCATATTATTTTTTGTATGGGCTGTTCATAAACTACGTAGACGGTTTTTGAGAGATTTCAACCCCCCCCCCCCTTTCGCAGTCTCAAACACAAAATTTAAAAAAAATGTATGGACCGTAGACATCTGCCAAGCGCTCCCACCCCCCTAAAGCGTCTACGTAGTTTATGAACAGCCCCTTAGTTAAATGCGTTTGGGATATAGGAAATTTTTTGTGGAAAACTAGGAACTAGGAAAACTAGGAAAACTCAGAGTGGACCACTCTACGTGTTTTGCCGTTTTGCCCATTTTGAATCGCCTGATAAACAAGAAATATATTTAAAAACAATGAATTCATATAATTTTGATTGATTTACTGACCAATTTAATCAGAAATCTGAGATAATAGCACGATCGACCAACTGGAATTTTTTTTTGTCGCTCTTTTGATGATTCTCATTTGATAAGTGTCCAAAATAAGTTGGTAACATTTTTTTACGATCTTTTTTGGACACTTTTTATTTAATACTTTTTAAGTAAAATCTTAAGGTGAAATCTTTATAAACACGTGAAATACATCTTCCAAAGTCAGATAAACTGATTTGATAAAAAAATCATTGAATTGTATATTTTAGACCAAATTTAAAACAAGTACACTAACGCCGATTCCTCTTGACAAACGTCGAAACATGAAACTTTTTCGATAACATTTTCTAAAACTGCATAAATTGAGCAATTGTAAGCAATTTGAGGTGAACTAATGATCTTGAGACATAGCAAGTAATTGAAAGAATGTAATTACAACATCAACCCAGATGAATTTGAAGAAACTATACAGTAAGCGAGGAAAATATATGAAAAGGGTCCAAAATATGTAGGGGTCCAATTCAAGTTGGTTACCCTACATTTCAGTTCAAGACAAGTTAAGCAGCCCGAAACAGCTTATAAGGAAATGGTTACAATTATAACAATCAGATTATTTACCTATCATCTTGACATTTTTACCTAGAGGATGAGTACTTAAGGGGGTTAGGGTTTTGATAAGTCTTTTGTGGGAATGACACTGATGAAGACTGCACATTATAGTCGAAATACGTAGCTGTCATGGATACCAAAATTAGTGGAATTAAATGGAAGATAACTTTATTTTTTGCTGTTTTATGGTAATACCTATTTATGGAAATATTGACAAAACTTCTGTCATGTGGGGTGAACTTGTCGTTTTTTTTAAACTCAGTCGTTTCGTTTGTTCCTCTCTATGAACCCTATGGCACGTTCTGCTGTTCTGTTAATGTTCTGTTCCTCAAGAAAGGCCTCGTTAACCGGTAACGTTGCTTCGTGACTTCGCGCGTAATCGCTTACGACTTCGGGTAGCTGCTTAAGTCGTTCCAGGTTGAACAGTAGTATTCCAAATGTTGTTGGTAACGGAAAGTGGTGCACTTTCACCATCACAAGGTATTCGTCAGTTCCTTTCTATGAACCCAATGGCACTGATCTGGTGTTAACGGCTTCTTTGACACTCCTTCAGTCAGTCCTTCCTCATCCGGTAACGTTGGAAATGTTGTTGGTAACGAAAAGTCTCTGGCGCACTTTTACCATCACAAAGTAGCACCCGTGGCAAGAAAAAGCCGACATTATGCGAAAATGCAGAGATAATAATATATAAGTTATGTTAAATTATCCTTCCGCTGCATCGGAAACGCGCTCAAATGATCGTCGTTCGTCGATATCAGACGGATATGACCTTCTATGTGTCCATTATTATGTTTTAGTCATAATGAGAATTTATTATAAGATGCACAACAGTGGTTTGCGTCACGGTAAATCCTGACATCAATTATATCCCAGAAGTGCTTCCATCAATGAAAACGTGGTCGATCTGTGATTCTGCGTGTTGTGGTGATCTCCAGGTGTACCGATTTGTGAGGCTGTACTGGGATAGGTACTAAGAATAATAATGCTCTTAGAGTCAGCGGAATCGATGAGTCTACGGTCGAAAGTACGTTGATTATGCTGACAATGACGGCCTCTGATCCTCAAGCAGCACATTCTGTTGTCGATTGGTCACCACCTAATTACGAGCTTTTGCATCTTGCCGATCAAAACTTCCATAGATCGAGTTCCTAAGATCTTTCCTCAGGATACTATCATCCAATAATATACTAATTTAATCGATGATCATAGAGATGAGTTACCTGTAAGCACCAAGCTTCAATTATCACAAACTTATGCATGAAAGAAATGATGATCATGTGCTCTGCTCCAACGTTAATCTAGAATCCGACCTAAGCATCATAACAGCCCAGAGCACCATACGATGATCAAAGCTACAGCACGACTGACGGCCCCAAATATTCAAGCTTAATTAAAATCACTTGTTCCATTCTAAAAGTGGCATGAAAAATGAGGTCCTAATTACAGTCACTTAAATGACTATACGTGCGACGCGTATGGTCTCATTACCACTGCCACTCCCGTGTTTCAAATGACATCTCAACTATCTACACTCACCCTCAACTGTCCCACGTACGCAGCAATCCTCCACCTTCAAAAATTAACATCTCAATACTCAAAATAAATATCACGCCTATAAAGCAGAACATATGGGATACTAACGACGAAATGAAGCGATGATAATTTCTTGAAATAAGATCAAACAAGAGTAAAACTGAAAATGTTGCGCTTGGAGATGGACGCAGCTAATTTGGAATATCCCCAAAGATCAATCCACACAACAGTGCAGCAGTGCTGAAATCCCTTCTTCGAAGCACCCGTAACGCACATCTGTCACCGCTAGAACCGTATGCCAATTCCCAAAACCATCAGCCAGCATTTAGCAGCGAGTGATGATCAACCGAGAAAATTAGTGCACGCCAGATCCGGCACAGCAGCCCCGGCGCTCCCTTGTCCGGGTAGAGTGATCTTCGCCTCGACGGTAATTAGCATGATTTATCGCCTTCCTTTAGCTAAATGATGTGAATGATTTCCAACGGACACGCCCTCCAATGATGAAACCATCAAAAGGGGCGTGAACGAAGCGAACGGCGAAAAAGATGCACGGTTAGTAAGAAATGGTGAAAAGACGGGCCAAAAACTCCCCGGAAAATCTGATCCATCCACAACTTCTCGGCTCGCGCGCAGGAAAACCAGTGCGCGGTGATTTTCCTGGGTGTTAGATAAATTTTGTGCGTCGACGGATTAACACGTGTAGCTTGCCGGTTCTTCGTGAGTGACACTGCTGTTTTTATGGAAGTGTAGTTTTAATGATTTAAGATCAACATGGAAAGTGTGAATAGCGATGGTTCAACAAGCCTAAAGATGAAAAACAATTTCAGCATTGAGCACTTGTTGGCTAAACCGGATAATTGTCGTGCGCCAAGTGGAAAACCAACCTACAATAACGGAATAAATTACATACAAAGTGAGAATGATCCGGTGGATCGCCGGGAAGGAAGCTCGAGCAGTGAACAATACATGGAGTGTACAACATCACCGGATTCCAGCTGCAATGAGGAGGCGATGGACAATTGCAGTGAAGCAGCATCGGAGGAGAGTGCAACAGGTTCGGGACTTTTTACTAAACAAGTGAAGTTTCTACTTATGTAGATTTTATTTAAAAAAAAGGCGCTCCTGAATTGGATTTCAACCTAATAATTATCTGCAAAGTAATTATTTAATTACCGTGGCTCGCCGTTGCTTCACGCACAATTTGATGTTCCGCTCACAATTTAAAATTGACTAAAAGTTCTATTGCATATCTCTTTAGTACATAGCATTGTGCATTGTAAAAATAGGGGGATTAGTGGCATAATGAGAACCTAAATGCTAAATTAAGCATACAAAATGGCTGAAATTTTAGAATCTCAGTAGCTAATAATCTACATTACTGTACGAAATGTATTGACAAACTTATTGGGAAGAAGAACACTATTATTTTATTTATGCTAAAAAATATGATTTAGGTTTACGGTCTCAAATCCCGTGAACAGTCTATGTACAGGGCATAATGAGCAGCGAACTAAATAGTAAATATTATCTCTTTTGCAACTGCTAATCCCAACCAGCAAGTTGTGTCTCGGTGTTGAAGACATGGGCTTTTCCGTTGAGTTCCGCTAGTTGATACGCAAGGCTTCGCGGGTAGTGGTCCAATAGCATCGATCCTTTAGTTTTAAAATGTGGGACACTAGCACTTTATCTTCACCGGGGAAGGAAACAGTTTTGTACTAACCAATTTGCTTCTCTTCCTGCCCCGACGACACTTCTGCTTCAGATACGTCTGTCTCGGAATGCCATGGTCCTTGGCGGCTCGTTTCGTGGATGTTCCGTCCAGTTTGATAGTTGCCTTGGCCGCTTTTAAGGGGACAAGTCTATCTTCAAGGACAAAAAAGCGAAATTTTGGGTTTTTTTTTTCTCGGAAAGTAAGCGACATATTTCAAATCGATTGTCTTGTCACACATTTCGAATTCGTCTTCGAATAATATTATATTGTGGTGGTGTTTGTTCCCCAGGGCGCCGCTCCTAGAAGACGGCGTTTTTTAAAAGATCTTCTGGATTGGCCACGCTGGTACGAGCAGAAATCGTCTGAAATCAAAAAGTTCAAATGGGTTGCATTAACAATCAGCGGTGATCGATGGATTTAAATAAATACAAAATGGCGGCCTTAGTTATGAAATTTAAAAAAAAACAGATCAAAACTGTCATAAAAGACCCTAAAAGGCCCTAAAAAATCGAATTTTAATAATATGCGAAGTCCAAACGATCAAGGCCTTAAATAAACAGTTATAAACAATATACAAAAACAACTGAACAAATAGGATGTATTGAATTTTGAGTTTTCACGGACACCGACTTTGAAAATGAGTTTTCGAGATAATCACGTTTAAAGTTTTAAGTTACATTCCCTTTGTCCAGCAGCTTTGTCTCGACATGGTACTCTTGAAAGCCACATAATTTCGTAAATTTTTATCAGATCAACATTTCAAGTTGGGAAAATAATCTTAAATATATATGATTTATGCAATAAAAAATAGACTTTTTGCAACTTTGCAGGTAGGCAATGCCGTTTCCGACATATTCTGTCTTCCGGATATTCATTTGTATGTTCGCAGCATCACTACCGTAGGTAAATAACAAAATTAACAAGCCAGCAGAGAGAAATTTGATGTTTGATGATGCATATTGAGAAATCCAACTTAAACTCCTGCGCGCCTGGTGGTAGGAACAAGCACTAACCGACGGTGATAAGTCTGTGATAGCCATTGACAATTTTGTTGATTGTTTGCAAAATTGTTTAATTTCAACGAAATTTCATGAAAATTTTCTATTAGAATGGATGAATTTTGTACAAAATTCATAAAACTATTTTGTAATGTATTGTTTCTAAATAAAAAGCTACTTCAAGACTTATAAATTACAGAAAACATGTTAAGGTTTGAAATCATCTCCCGATTAAGCAGCAGACAAAGTTGGTCGACTAAATCCATCGTCGAAAAACTATTAAATAGGCAGATTGCTCGGTGTATCACCAGACGAAAAACGATTTAATCTGCTGACTGAAATTAATTACATTAATTTAGTCGCTGGCCAAATTTGGTGATTTCGATGATCTTTGTTTATTTGGAAGATATTTTCAAAACAATCACAGCAAAAAATTAATTTTGATATCACATCAAAGTGGATGCACTTCAATCGTGTCTAAAATATGGTGTAATATTACTTGCCAAAAAGGACAAAATTATCATTAATACAGTGCATGAACTGGCCTTACTCTGCTTTTACTGCATTTGTTTATTTTTGTGGCTTAAAAATTACATGAGATTTTTGACATGATTGAAGTGCATCCTCTTGGATGTAATATTAAAATTATTTTTTTGCTGTGAAAGCATTTTTAAATTCAGCATTACATACTATTATTAAGAGTACTACTTTTTTGCTCGGATCATGTTTTAACTTCCACAGAAAAGCGGGGCCGGTGGTGTAGTGGTAAGTCGGTAGTATGCTTTGAGCAGAAATTTCGTGGTAATTTCTTTGGTCATTCATGTCGGTTTGTCGGTGATAAAACCGCGCAAAAATAAATCACCATATTGGCTGCGCAGATTCTTGATGATGTATTTATCCGTTGCATTAATAATAAATTCAACGATTCAAATTATTATTCAAAAATTTCGTAATCACTTATGGTGATAAGCTGCAACCGGTATTATCCTCGGATGAAATTCCGACTAAGAGTGTCTTGCTGCATTTATTTATTTATTTATTTGTCGTCAATCATTGTAGGCCGTTTTACAATTGTTGTCTTAAGAGCTATGTTTACAATTTTGTCTTTGTTTATATTTTTTTTATAATATGTCTTGAGAACAAGTTAAAACATTACTTCTAGCTGACGTTATGCGAGGAATTAAAATATTGCCTTAATTTGGTTTTTGTCATTGTAACGTCAATGTTATCGCAGTGCTTATTATATGTATCCATCATTTGGTTCAAGGGTCCAAATTTGGCATAATTCGTACGATGACGATTTGTAGCAAATATATTTCTATTTCGTAAATGCCTAGATGGTGTATATAAATTTAAGGATGACAATAGTTCTATAGAATCAATGCGATGTGATACGATATCGTTTACGAAAGAAATCATAGCAAATTCACGACGCTTTTTTAATGTTTGGATATTTATGAGCATACACCGAGCTGTGTAAGATGTAAGATGGCAGTGGAAATACAGTCCAACCTAACTTGCGGAGTGCATACAATAGAAACTGCTTTTGAACGAACTCTATTATTTCTTCGTGTGTGATTGAAAAAGGAGACCAAACTATGCTGCAATATTCTAATATCGATCTTACATTTAAGCAATGTACTATGTTTTTATCGTATACGGATCGTGAAAGTTATAGCAGAAACGTTTTATGAAACCAAGCATGTTGTTAGCTCTGTTAATAATTGTGTTATAATGATCGGTGAAAGTAAGTTTTGAGTCCAAAATAACACCTAGATCCCTGACTCTATCACACTTTTCTACGATATGGTTTCCTAAAGTGATTGTTATATCGGGTAGGGTTCGTTTTCTACTAATGGTAATTGAGTTACATTTTTTTATATTTAATTGTAGCAGGCTTTTTTGGCACCAAGTATGGAATATCTGTATTTCCTCTTTGAATGTGATGATGTCTTTGGCATCTTTTATTTCCAAAAAAAGTTTAATGTCGTCAGCATAGATTAAAACTTTCAATTTCTTAATAATGAAAGATATGTCATTGACGAAGAAAATAAATAAAAGCGGTCCTAAATGGAGCCTTGAGGAACTCCAGAAGTGACATCAACGGGATTTGATGTCTTTCCTTTGTATTTTACTATTTGATGGCGGTCAGTTAAATATGATTCATGCCACTTGAGGAGTGCGTAATGAATTCCCATTTTTTGAAGTTTAAAAAGAGGCATGGGTATGTCAATTCGATCAAACGCTTTGCTGAAATCTGTATACAACACTTCTACATGGTTTCCGTTATCCATTGCATTCAAGGAATAATTAACTAATTCGAGCAAATTCGTAGTTGTTGAACGGCCTTTAAAGAAGCCATGTTGCATAGTAGTTATTCTGTTTTTAATTTGAAGAAAGAGTTTTTCATTCACAATCGCCTCGAAAAGTTTCGGAATGCAAGAGATTATAGCTATACCACGATAATTACGTATGTCGGATTTTTTGCCCGATTTAAAGATAGGCACTAAAAACGAGTTTTTCCATATTTTAGGGAAGTTTCCGGATTCCAGTGATATATTGAAAATCCAAAATAATGGAGCAGTAAGTTCAGTTGCTAAAGCTTTCATAAAAACTGGCGGAACACCGTCAGGGCCAGGACCTTTAGATGCATCTAAATTGTTTAAGCCCTTTAAGATATCATGAACCTTGATTTGACTTACGCTGATGTCACTTGAAAATTCTGGATAAGATTCAAAATTTTCACGGTCAAATTGCATATACCATCCGAGTTCTCACCTACCCTATCGTCCAAATGCATCTTTGATGGAAAATTATCAGATTTTAATTTGGTTTTCACATAATTGAAGAATTTCCTAGGACAAGATTTTATTTCAAGTTCAGTTTTTAAATTGTACTCCTCAAATGCCATATTCACGGCTAAATTTAACTGATCGCAAATGTCTAAATCGTATGCCAAAGGTTCTTCACTATTATATTTTTTATAAAATTTGTGCGCTTTTTGCTATTGATTTTTTAAATTGTTCAGTTCCCTGTTGTACCAAACCGGATGTTTTGCATGACTCTGACGTCTTCTTCTTTTAGTTGGCACTTCTTCAAGTATTATTTCAAGCAACACATTGTAGAATACATCAACTGCACATTCAACATTTCCTGCAGTTCTTAATATTGCTTGCCAATCGACATTGGTCAATCTATTTCTAATGTTATCATAATTTGCTGAATTGTAATCAATGATTTCATCAAATTCGCAGTCGTTGGTTCTTTCATTTATGTGAACGAATAAAGAATATTCTATTGCTGTGTGAAACATTTCATTTCTCCATATGGGACCCCAAGTAACAC